GTTTTTAAATTGTTTGCTTTACTTTGCAATCCTTTGTCTTCTACTTCCCTCAGTTAGATAATCTCTTCCATCAGTTTGCTTATCTCTTTTAAAAAGCTTCCAGTTCCCAGTTTAGTAGAAGGATCTTTTTTACCGAAAACATTAATCATTTTTTGTTCTTGACGTGCTTGATAAACTTTATTTCCGTTATTTCCTGTTGTTATTTCTGAAGGCCTTAATCAGGGGAACTTTGTACTCTTACATAAGACAAATATCTATCATTGAAAAGAAACTTCTAAGTCAATGGTACGAAATCTTGGAAGATTTTCAAATGTTCTTTACTCTTTTCATATCCCTTGCTTATTGAAGTTTATTAGTATTACATACATCTCTTGTTCAGATGATCACTGAGTATCATATCCATGCATGTTATGGATAACTTCTTATTGGTAGGCGCAAGAAGCTTGCCATGTTAGTTTTCTCCTCCTGGTTCTTTGTTAACCTCAGATGACAGAGACTGATTGATTGCGTTATTCTTTGTGCTGTTTGTCCAAGATCTCTCTCTATTGGCGTAGTTTGATCCAGGATTTAAGCTTGATCGATATGGTATAGTTTCAGATTCCTATGATCTAGAATGGCAGTTCCTACTAAGTGTAGCAATACTGATTTATGAGCCTGTGGTACAGTTATGGCAAAATTAGCCTGTTCTACCCTTATTATCTCAGACCCTAAATTCTTCTCCTCTCTCCTCCCCTATGTAGGCGCCAAGCTTTCTCTTCATGTCATGCCTTTGCTGATGTCAGTACTACTTGGCATCATTCGTACCATAGTTTCCATCACCTATAGTTTCAAGTTCTCACCATTCCTGTATATGAAGAACTTTTCTCTCCATTCTTTTTAATCTTTTGCTGGCAATTTAAATTCATGTCCCCTTCATTTGGACTTTCTCTCAAAAGTTCTTCTAAACTGCTTGAAAAATTTAGATTCTTCTAGATCTTTCAAATTCTATCAACTTATAATTGTATCACTAACTTGTGCCATGATAAGTCTTGCATTTTAAAAAAATCTTTTTTAATTTAGTCCCCAACTGAGTAATATTCCTCCTGGGACTGAATAGGCTGATAGGTAGATCCATGGTTTCTCAGAATACGCTATCATCAGTCTGGCCTGTTTCTTCATCTAACTGTTCTGCAAACAGACAATGTTTTGTGCACTGCCTTCCATTCACCCTGCCCTGTGCCTTCAGCTATGAAATTCCCATCTTCTGGAATGTTGCTTCTAATCCATTCCAGCTTTCCACTTCCATCACCACTTGAAGATCATTCTTTAAAACCCACCACTTTGATGCAGTTTCAATTTATAATTTGCATTTGTCTCTGATTTGGTGTCCATTCAGTCTAATTACTCTCTCTTGTAATTTCATGTTACATAAAGGCTATGTGGATGCAAACTTGTTTTAACCCTTGCTGATAGAAATGGAGTCGTGATCACTTAGATTAAAATTTCCCCAAGGTAATTTTCTTGGTTGAAGAGTAGTACAAGTATAATTTGCAATTATTTTGGATTTGTATGTTTATTATCCTTTCTAAAAGTTATATCGTCAAACAAAATTTACAATCATGTTTCCATATAAAAACTTAATTATTGAATGCAGCGTTCATGATTGGAAAGGATGCTTGGTGTGTTCTTTTCTCTCAGCTTATATTAATTGAGAAAGAGACAGTTCTAGTTAGTACCTATGCACCTTGGGTTGAGAAGGATAAACTGGCCATTGCTCCCACATTTGATATCATATAATGAAGTTTGCTGAGATGTGTGCATGTAGGCATCTGATAAGACGAGGCTTGTACCTGTCTCGGGTGGCAATCATCATTGAATAACTTGCACGCCCTTTAATTCCAAGCTTGGGGACTAGAATTACAGCATTGGCAAGGTACTGAAATTTAGTTTAACTTGTAGTTCTACCCTAAAAGAAACAACACCTCCTTAGGAGGAAGGTGGCAGAAATTGTGTAGCAATGGAGTGCTGTAATTTTATTTTGATTTCTCGTGAGTTGTGAGCTGGACTATAATTGTAAACTGGAATCTCTGCGAAGAACATTTTTAAGTAACCTTGTATGATCTCATAGGTTAATTGTATATGAATTGAATTAAATATGGAAAAAGATATTATTGCAGTCATAGAATCATAGAGCAAGGAAACAGACCCTTCAATCTAACTAGTCCACGCTGACCATCTTCCCAAACTAAATTAGTCTTACTTACCTTTGTTTGGCCCATATCCCTCCAAACCTTTCCTATTCATGTACTTGTTGAAATGTCTTTTAAATGTTGTAACCATACCTGCATCCACCACTTCCTCTGGCAGTTCTTTCCATATAAGAACCACTCACATTTAAAAAAAAAATCATGTTGCCGTTCATGTCCTTTTTAAAACTTTCTCCTCTTCTTTTTTTTTCTTAAAAACATGCCCCCTAGTTTTGCCCACCCTTCACTACCCCCATCCTAGGGAAAAGACACTTGCTATTCACCTTATCTATGCCCTTCATGATTTTATAAACCTCGAAGGTCACCTATCAACCATCTACGCTCCAGTGGAAAAAGTCCCAGCTTATTTTCATAACTTCCCCCGCTCCATTCACAGCAACATCCTGGTAAATATTTTCTGAACCCTCTCCAATTTAATAATATCCTATAATGGGGTGACCAGAATTGTACACAGTACTCCAGAAGAAGCCTCACCAATATCCTGTACAACCTCAACATGACGTCCCAATTCTGATACTCAAAGGTCTGCGAAATGAAGACAATTGTGCTGAATGCTTTCTTAACCACCCTGTCTACCTGTGATGCAAATTTAAAAGAATTATGTTCCTGAACCCCTTGGTCTCTCTGTTTCATAATTTCAGAATTTCAAGACTGTCTTTGTCTTTGTCTTTGTCTTTGTTTACTTTCTTGCCTGATCTTGCCTATATGGACATGGGAGGGGTGGAGGTTTCAGGTTCTAAAATTCTTCAGAGAAAGATAGTGTTTTCACCAAAATCAAGCTGTATATTTTTACTTTTCTTTTTGCACACTGTGAATTTGATATCTAGTACATTTACAGTACTGAGTATTTTTAATTGTTGCATGATACACTTCTATGCCACTAGAGTTCTATTCTTAGTACTGTAATGAATGGGCTTGTTTGCTTTCTGGCAAGGGAAGAAAAGGAAATTTTAAGTGTGCTGTGCTATAAATAGAATTGTATTAATTTTGTTTCACATTGGTTTTGCATTAATTTTTCTTTCAAGAGCTCTGACATCCCCCTGCTTTCTAGAGGGGGAAATGGGCGTGAAAATACATTTTCAGAATGTGCTTGACCAAAAATACATCTTGCAAGTCTTATGACGCTGCATGGAAAACCTCTTCATGAATTTGCTCTTGTGCTAAGCCTTGGTTAACTCTGAAATGAAATTGGAGCTTAGAAGAATGAGAAGTGATCACAGTGAAACATACAGTATTAAGGGCTTGACAAGAAAACTGCTGAGAGAATGTTTCCCCTCAAGGGAGAGTCTAGGACCAGAGGGCATAGTCTCAGAATTAAGGGGTGCCAATTTAAGCCCAAGATGAGGAGGAATCTCTTCTCTAAGGGTTGAGAATCTTTGAAACTCCTTGCTGCAGAGAGCTGTTGGTCAGAGTTATTGTGCATATTTAAGGTTGTGATAGATTGATCAGTAGGGCAATCAAGGATATGAGGAAAACGGGCAAGTGGGTGTAAGGAAAGTTGGATCGGCCATGATCCTATGGAATGGCAGAGCAGACTCGAGGAGCCAAAAAGCCAGTTCCTGTTTCTGTTTCTTATGGAAGGTAGGACTTGGGAGTAGGAACTAATTTGTCTTTCATTTCTGTCGCTGTGATATTAATGAAGTAGCATTGTCTGTCAACTAAGTTTATTTTGTATCCACTGGGGCTACATTTAATATTAGATAGTTGTGCTCCAAGTGAAGGGAAAAAAGTAACTCAGCCCCGCAGACATCAGTGACTTATTATGGAAATGAGGAACTAATTGTTCTGATTCACCATTTTCAGATGAATGTCAATCCATTTTGGCTCGTGGGCACCTTTTTTTTTAGTTTTTCTTGGAGTTGAATTGAAATACGACGTGAAATGGCGTATCAACAGGAGTTTAAAGCAGATAAAAGCAAATTGGCTGTAAGTTGTACACCTGTCTGAATTTTCTTTCTGGTAACTTTGGAAAGCAAGCTTGGGTGGAATGCATTAGGGGCAACTGATCCACCCCTGCTCAAAGTTGAATTTCACTGTACATTTCCAGCAGTAGTGAAAGAGAGGTGTTTGTTGTACTATGCAGTTCCTCAAGATATATTTGTGTATCATGAAGATCAGAAACTGCCTGCTTCTGATTTTCTTTATATGTATGAACTATATTGAATTAAAGAATAAAGTATTAAGAGTTTAAAATTCTCTTTTGTGGTGTGGCTGAAGCAGATAGTGTGGACACAATTTAAAGGCGAATTGATGTATGCATAAGGGAGAAGGCATTTTGAATAAGGTGGAAAAAGATTACGAGTGTGGTAGGAGTCTTGTGCAGCATATAACATCACAAAGACCATTTAGGGTGAATGGCATATTTTGATGCCATGTATATAAACTTGCTGTTTTTATGTTAGAGTATGATGGCAGTACTCAAACATATATATTTTATGATTTATATATTGGTTTGTTTCTTCCATAAATTGCAAGTGCACTGCCACTTTATCTCAAACTTCTATGAATTTTATAACATACAATTAGTAGCACTAAACTATGGAGTGTGGTTAGTACCTGCAAAGATCTATTAATTTGTGTAGAATTAGTATTGAATATTTTGCAATTGAATTTTTAAATTCTGTTTGGAGGAAGTGTCAACCTGATAATTATCAGTTTAAATCGTCAAAAATAATTTTACTGCAGTTTTTGTTTTAACAGTTATAATTACGCTTTGTGAATTTATTATCTTGATTTTGAATGTTTTATTTTCAGCTCAGCATTCAGGATGTAACATGGAAAAGAGGAAATAATTTTCAAAGAAGCTGCTTCATGAAAAGAATGGCCTTTTTAGACAACCCTGCTATTATCCTGGCCCACATTCGTCAATCCCATGTTACTAGTGATGACACAGGGATGTGTGAGATGGTTCTTATTGACCACGATGTTGACCTGGAGAAATTACATGCTCCTATATCTAGCAGCATCAGGACAAATGTACAGGGGGAAGGGAATGCTGAGACTCAGGGTTATGACTACTCGCAATCAGTTGACATTACCTCAAGCTGGGATTTTGGAATTCGGAGACGATCAAACACAGGTAAAACCTAAATACATATTGGGTGAGTAAGAAGTGTTACTAGTTTATAGTATAATCTATTGATGAGTTCTTTCCTTAAACCCTGAGCAGTTTTTGATTTCTTTTGTAGGTGAAAATCAATGGTTTTAAAATAAGTTTCAAAATCAGTCTATGAAGTGGCAAATGATGCTGTTTATTGTTACAGGATCAAACTATTGGATAACAGTTTAGAGTAAAAATTTAAAACACAAAAAAACTGACATTTTTGTACAACTGTGAATTAAGAGTCATTAGTGCTCAAATGGAGGGACTTTTGCTTATGAGCATAGGTTTTCTGGCATCTTGTGCCTCCAGATCAAAAGCAATCAGTAAAAAGAAATGATTAATGCAATTAAAGGAAGCACTTTACTATTTTCTTGCAAGGTTTTGACACTGTTGAATTGCAAGGAATTTCTTTAATGTGCTTTTCCAAACATTCAATAATATTCTATGGAATATCATACATTTGTACATCTTTTATCTACACGACATATGATATACTTGAATATTGAGTGTGTGAAATTTTCTGTAGACATCAAGCCCTATTTTATATAATTGGCGGAAATTACATTTCAAGTCCCAAATGCATGAAATTTGCTGAAGTGACATCTTTCAGATAAATGTTTTGAGGAAAAGTAATGATAAACATCAGGCATGTATTTTTCTTGTTTGTGTTAATTGTGAACATTAACCACCTAATGTAATATTTGACCCTCAAGCTGTCCAATTAAACAGTGCAGTTCAGTGTTCTACTGAATGTATCTAATTTATTGGAAGCTTATTGACACTTTCCCTCCATAAATCTATCTTAGAAAAATATTAATTAGCGATTCACTAACATACTGAAATTGCACTCCTTACGATCCCAGAATTTCAACAGAATTTGCTGTACATTTTTGCTTCTGACTCTGATCGAGATACACGGTTCCTTGGTATTTTAGTCTGATTGGTCAAAACAAAATTGTGAACTTGAAATTTATTTGACTTCCTTTGAATTTAAGAAATCCCAGGTCATTTTATTCGTTGTAATCCGATAGTCAATCGACATTTACTAACCATTAACATTTCTGGAAGAAACATTATTAATGATTTATGTGTGTGAACTGGCTTATTAATCACGCATGTTTTTACATTCTAATATTCACTGCACTGTTGAAATTCTTTATGAGCTCTATTAATGTTTTATGTCTTTTTAAATTCAATTATTAATCATGAACACTTTTAGAATTTTGTTGGTATTTGTATAGCTGTGGTGTCATCTTTGAAAATTTATGAACGTTTGATGTAGTTATAACACAATATAAAACACCCATTTAAAATGTGTAAATGTATTTCATTTTGGCACTTTTATTGCTGACTTCCTTAGACAATGATTTTTTTCCGTTTTTGGTTTTTCTTTTTCTCTCTTTGCAGCTCAAAGGCTCGAACGGTTAAGAAAAGAACGACAAAATCAAATTAAATGTAAGAACGTTCAGTGGAAAGAAAGGAATACTATACATTCAGGTAAAGCATAATAAGAACATGTTTCCTTTGGTATTTGAGCAATATACAGTTTATTTTCATTTAAAAAAGCTTTGTCAGAAATGATTCTCAATATTGCAGACACAATAGACAGAGCAGGACCATTGTACTTAAATAAAAAAAACCATATCCAATTGTGCTTTTTTACAACAAAACCTAATGACAAACACACTCAGCACATTAGAATACTAAGCTAAGGGCTAGATCTATTTGAAGCCACTGTTAAAGCTTAAATCTAGGTAGATATTGTTGACACAAAACATTTCTCAATTACTGCAAAATCTTTGCAAAAAGCGTAAATAATTTAAAACCTCTTGCGTTTGAAGGTATTGTGAACCCAGTGTTCAATATAAATATATAATATAGAGGTTGATTTTAGTCATGAATGCAAAAATGTTGCACTGTTGGTTATTGCAGTGTATTAGTTATTACAGGCAAAACAAGATTTCAATGTATCCCCCCTGTTATTGCTGTACAAATGAAAGCAGTTTCAAAGCAAGCTTATCAAGAGAAATCAAGTTTGGGTTTGATGAGCTTGAAAAGGTTGTAGATTTTTTGTTCAAAAGGGAAAAGATTGTTTCATTGCTAATGTAAAACATCAAGTTAATTTTTCTCAGATCTGCACCACCGATATTACCCAGCACTGAAAGAGCAATCGCTGATCCCATCTTTCATTTTACACTTCAAGACAAATCCATAACTTGTTCAGTCTGTAGTTTCTGTTCTGAAATATGGTCCTGTCTTTACAAATTCACCACGTTTATAAATTTTGTTGAATTACATTGCATCACATCACACAGCTATGATAACATCTTCATTAACTTTTGTTAATGTTCCCTGTCTTTAAGTAATAAAATTTTCCCCAAGTAGTTAGCGTAATATTCTTTTTTTTTAATGTAAAATGTGATTGCAGGAGAGAATACATAAGATTTAAAATTGGAAAATTGTAACACTTGTGACACTTGACCACCACTCCCTCCTTCAAGTAGAGATTGAATTTTTCTCATTAAAATTAATTCTAAAATTAATTTGATTCTTAAATTCAGCATTTTGGGAAAACTTCTCTGGTTATGAAAGGGTTTGAAGATTATGTGCAGATTTTTGTTTTTTTTTAAGTATCGACAGCAGTCATGTTGGAATTATGAAAGTGCAGACACTTATAGATACCAAATATGATTTAGAAGCAGGAATAAGCCATTTGGCCCACTGAGCACGCACTGCCATTCATTAAGATTATAGCCGCAACTCCACTTTCCTGCCTATCCCCAATACCCTTCGACTCCCTTATTAGTTAAGAATCTAAGTACCTCTGCCTTAAAAAGAAAAGTATCAGTGACAGCCCCAACAGCTTTCTCGGGAAGAGAATTCCAGATTTGTGACCCTCCGAGAAAAGATTTTTCCTCATCTGTGTCTTAAATGGGAGATTCTTTACTTTTAAACTCTGTACCCTCGTTCTACTCTCTCCCAAAATATCCATCCTGTCAAACCCCCTCTTAGAATATTTGTATTTTAATAAGATCGCCTCTCATTTCTCCTGCACCAATCTTTGTGCCAAACATTTAACTCTAATCTTACTTGTTTTATGTCAATTTGCATATGGCTCCATTAATAAACCAGAGATGTCGCTTTGAAGGTCTGCTTTTAAATTGAGCCCTAACTGCTCAAGCTCCCTAAGCAGAACCGCATCTTGTCTTAACAATGGTTTTGACACTCGCGTTGACCATGTCCCATCCCTTGTCCCACTGCATGTCCCTCTGTACTTCAAAGCAGATGGCCTGAACCATGGCATTGGGTAGGCAATTGTACTTTATGAATTTTCACTTTCACCATGTAGGAATTGTCTGTTCCTCCTAATTGTACTGTCCCCCACAACCACTGCACTATTAAACCCCTTTGCTTGAATTGCTTCCTGTATCTCAAATCGCTCATCCACCCTGTAGCATCTTCAACAATTGTTAATCTGAGAGTGTCACCTTTTAAAATGAAGCTGCTGATGATTGAATAATGGAGTGTTTGCTCTGTAGCTTGGAGTTGATGCTTGATGTGAAGTAGGATAAATTTCAGCTTTTACTTTGTGATTATTTATCTCTTTGGTGAAATAAGTTGAAGTGGAGGGGAAAACAGTCTGATTAAACAAATTATAACTGCCTGTTTCTAATGATGTACTTTGAATAATTTTGAAGTGGACCATGACTGAATTTATTTTGTTATATATCAAATTAATAGTAACTGCCTGTGAATTAATTGATGTTCCATTGTTAATATCAGGAATTCACAACATAATTGTTGGTTGAAGTGATTCGAAGTTAAGAACAATGTTTTCATGTAGCTTCCTCTTTTAAATGAGTTTTATATTTAATTAATACATTGATAGAATGTTTAACAACATATACAAAAATGAGTCCTGCATATAACCTTTTTTTAGCTTAACCATAATTTAATTACTTGTTTATTTAATGGGACATGCTTTCCAAGCCCATACCCCTTGGGGCCTTCAGGGCTTAAATTTGAGATAAGCCTAAAAGTCCTGTCTCAAAAACCTGAATCAAGTTCCAAGATGGGATGAATATTTCAATAAGGCTTTGTGCTAGCACAATTTTAAGCCAATATCTTTCAAGGAAGTAAATATTTTACTGCTTTACATGCTGTCTGAAAGCAATAAGATGTTAGCTATGTACAACACGTCCTTGAATACAAGAGACCAAGTGCTTTTTAAACTGGTGCAGAATTTTTTAACTCCATTTGTAATTAACCATTAAATAATAAGTAGTATAACTGATATGTCCAAACATACTTCCTCTCCAAATTCAGCTGAAGAATTAGGCTCCTTGTTTGAAAAGAAGGACTTCCGTGCAAAGCCACTGAATACTGGAAAACCGTCTACGCTTTCCATACGTCTTGAACAGTGTCCGCAACAACTGAACAACCCATTTAATGAGTATTCCAAATTTGACGGCAAGGTTGGTGCAGAAAAGATTTCACATTTTACACTGCATCTTGGTTAATAGACAGGCCCACTGGATCGTAAGTAAAGCCACACTGTAGCACCTAACAATGTAAATTTAATGATTTGGCAAGAATTTAGATCGTGCTAACTGTATTTAGAGGGTCAGGCAGCTGTTTGAAAATGGCAAGATCAGTCCAACATTATTTTTTATCCTGTATACATTTGGTGAGTGGTCTGACTTGCACTTGACAGTTTTTCTCTGCAATACAGTTGATTTGATGAGGAATTCTCTGATGAAACTTTCCTCTGTTCATTCTTTTAGTAAAACTATAATTGTATTTACTAGTTTGCTGAGGGTAGTTCATGGAAGAAATATTCTATTATTTATTAAAACAAATTAAGCCCGTTCAACTGCTTTGTTATTGTGCAGTATCATTTTCTATACAATTTTCAGTGAATGAAGACCCTTTAGTTATATGTCAGTAAATGACAACATTTTTTTGAATTTTCTATTATTGCCTTTGCACTTCGTTTGAGTGCTCACTTAATGAGACTTCTGTAGTCACCGTATTTAATGTTCAAATAGGATTGTTTAGAAAAACCTTGCGGTATGTGCACAATTGTCAAGCCAGAATTATATTTGAACATGTCATTAAAAACGGAAGAGAATTTTTGCTTTTGAGCTGTTTTTTTCACTCGTAGAGTTGGCTTAATCTAACTTCAATTATGTTTTTAAACCATAAAATTGATATTTTGCCTTGGTGTAATAGTCAATTTTCATAAGAGCAGGTTGTAGAGAAGTTTTGTTTTGAGGAAATCAGTTGTTTGTTTGCTTTTAATATCTTATTTTACACCCTTTTTAAGGAGGTGTTTATTTCACTCCTGTGCTTCGCCTTCAGCTAAATTAGCTTACCTGCTTTATTGTAATTCTGCTTGACCATTCCCAATTGTAAGTTTATACATTGGGATAAGGTCCAGATTTAGAGAAATGAAAGGTTAAATGTTGTAGATTAATAGAAACAAAATATGAACTAAAAAAACAAGGTGTTGAAAATACTCCAGTCCTGGCAGGAATTGAGAGCATATTGTTGCCAAATTTGCCCACTCTTCTAGCCTGTACAAGTCCATCTGCAGCCTTTCTGCTTCCTCAAATGCAAAGAAGTAGCAGATGGGATACAAAGTGGGACAGTATGAAGATATGCACTTTGGTGGGAAAAATGGAGGCATAGATGAATTTCTAAGTGGGAAAGGCTTTATACTACTGAGACTTTGGTCAGACTGCATTTGGAATATTGAGAGCAGTTTTGGGCTCTGTATCTGAGGAAGGATGTGTTTGGAGGGGGTCCAGAGGCAGTTTACAAGAATGATCCCTGGAATGAAGGGCTTGTCATATGAGGTGTGATTGAAAACTCTGGGTTTGTACTTGTTGGAGCTTAGAATGATGAAGGAGTCTAATTGAAATTTACAGAATACTGTGAGGCCTGGTTAGAGTGGACGTGGAGAAGATGTTCCCGCTAGTAGGGAAGACCAGGACCTGAGAACACAGCTCAGAGTGAAGGGACGACCCTTTAGAGGGCATACAAAGAGGAAAGGTTTAGTGGTATATGGGCCAAATGCTAGCAAATGGGACAAGTGTAGATTGGGATGTCTGGTACTGGGGTGAGGAAGAATTTAAACATATTCACTGTCACTGGGTCAAAATCCTGGAGCTCCCTCCCTTACAGCACTGCAGCAGTTAAAGAAGGCAACTCACCACCACGTTGTCCGTGGCAATTGGGGATGGATAGTAATTGCTGGCTTACGTGACATGTATCATGTGACATGTACACATGTAAAAGCTGCATCTTTGTGCTAAAGTCCAAGATAGCTGCAATTTACTAATTTCCTTGTGGATGTTGTAATTAAACTGTGATTTGCTTAACATTTTTTAAAAGAGCAAATATCATAGTGCATTTATATAATGACAGAGTTGTCTTTCTTGAACTTTTTACTAAGGAACATATTGTACAAAGTTCAGTTATGAAAATTTATGATTTTTTCCTTCACTAAACTAAACTACCTCATCCAATGGGATGAAAGGCAGAAGGTCTGAAACCAATTAAACCATGGAAGTCTTGCCAAAACAATTAAATATTTTGACATGGTAATTCTTAATTTATGGTGGACTTGCTTCACTATGTTTTACTTAATATTGTTAAAGGCTGAAAGACTGATACATGTGTTTGTCATTAGCAGATTTAAAGCTTGATTGGAATAAAAGTGCACAAACAAATTAAATTTTATTGTAAATAAATTAGCTGTAATGAATGGTTTAAATTCCTTACCTAATCTCTCTCTCTTTAGTTGGTAGTTACAACAGTATGGATTAATGTCTGTAATGCTGTTTGCATTTATCAGTTACATTACAATCTCCCAAATAAATTTCTGATTTTCCATCTATTCATGTATCTAGTTGTATCGAAAGTGAAGACCCTAAAAATGAAAAATTTAGGTCAGTACTTTCTTATTGCTTCGTTGGAATGTTGCACACCTCTCTTGGATCTCCAGTTTTTTGCATAGATTTTTAAAATATATCCACATGATTGGAAGAACAATTGCATGCAATGAACAATTCACATTTGTAAGATGACACATGAAATCAGTTTGTACTTGTAAAGAATCTCATGCATGGCTTTTCTCATTTTTTTTAGCTACTAGCTTAAATTTCACTTCTGAAATTACATTACTATGACAGAGGAGATCTAAAGAAAGAGAGTAAAGAACAAAGAGTATCAAAGTAGATCAGAAATAGCAAGAACTGCAGATGCTGGAGTCAGAGATAACAAAGTGTGGAGGTGGAGGAACACAGTAGGCCAGGCAGCATCAGAGGAGCAGGAAAGTTGACATTTCGAGGCGGACCCTTCTTCAGAAATGGGGGAGGGAGAAGGGAGCTTGGAAATAAATCGGAGGGGTGGGATGGTGATAGGTGAGTGCAGGGAGGCAGTGGTGGGGATTGGTCAATGAGGTGGGAGGAGCGGATTGGTGGGAGAGAAGATGGACAGGTTGTGTCAGGTCAAGGAGGTGGGGATGAGAGAGAGGGATGAGACTGGGGGTGGGGAGATTTTTGAAACTGGTAAAATTCACATTTAGGCCATTGGGCTGTGGGCTGTAGGCTCCCAAGACAGAATATGAAATGCTGCTCCTCCAGTTTCTGGGTGGCGTCATTGTGACACACGGGGTGCCATGGTGGCTCAGTGGTTAACACTGCTGCCTCGCAGCACCAGGGACCCGGGTTTGATTCCACCCTCGGGTGACTGTGGAGTTTGCACATTCTCCCGGTGTCTGCGTGGGTTTCCTCTGGGTGCTCCGGTTTCCTCCCACAGTCCAAAGGTGTGCATACTAGGTGGATTGGCCATGCTAAATTGCCCATAGTGTCCAGGGATGTGTAGATTAGGTGGGTTATAGGGGGATGGGTCCGGGTGCGATGCTCTGAGGGTCGGTGTAGACTTGTTGGGCTGAAGGGCCTCTTTCCACACTGTAGGGATTCTATGATAAGTGTGGTATATGCTGTCTTAAAAAGATAGTGATGCCTCAATCAGCAGGATGTAACTTGTTCATCTTTATAGAGCAAAATGCACTGACCGAGAGTGGAAATTCTTGTTAGTTCAATTGTTTGCAATGTGGGGTGTAACTGAACAGTGCACAATGGAGAGATGTAGAATTACTTGACAATTTCTGGAGGTCTTTATTATTCTGCATCATGTGGATTCTGGTAGTTTCTGCTTATTACAGTGAAGTAATGACATCGAATGCTGTCTGTAGTTCTCACTGGAAATTCTGGCCCAGTGTGAACTAATTTATGCAATTTTAAGGTTAGTACAGAAATTTAGAGATCCCACACGTATATATGCACGTTTTCACAAGTGGCTGATCATGAAATTACATTTTTGTTTGTTATTTCTATTTTGTAAAAATCCCAACATTGTAACCAGCACTATAAGGAAAAAGAATATTCATAAAACTGAAGTCACTGGATCCGAGGGATAATCTTTCTGAAGTTGGAGCCATAATACTAAAGAAGATGGTAGCAGTTGTTGGTGACTCATAATTGAAGCCCCGGAATGTGTGTCTACAGGAGTGAAAAAAACAAGTTGCTGGAAAAGCTCAGCAGTTCTGGCAGCATCTGTGAAGAAAAACTCAGTTAATGTTTCGGGTCTGGTGAGGAAGGGTCACTGTACCCGAAACGTTCATGCTGATTTTTTTTTTGTTCACAGATGCTGCCAGACCTACTGAGCTTTTCCAGCAACTTCTGTTTTTGTTCCTGATTTACAGCATCTGCAGTTCTTTCATTCTCTACAGGAGTTGCTCAGGACAGCTATCTTCAGCTGCTTCATCAGTAACCTTCTTTCCACTCCATCTTAAGGACAAAGTGAGGTGATTTACTGCATCCAGGCTTGGGTGGATGCACGAAAAATGGAAGATGAGCCAGACAATGGTCCTCTCCAATAGGAAATAATCTCACTATTTTCACATGACATTTAGCAACATTATCATTGCCGTATTCCCTACCACCTGTATCCTGCGGGTCACCATTGACTAGAATTAGACTTGCTGAATAAATGACCTCACTACTAGAGCTGATCAAAGGCTGTGTGTTCATTGCGTGACTCAAGCATCCTTTAAAAAGTTTCATCCATTGCCTACAATAGACTGAATGTATCTGCAATATTATCTAGCACAAAGCAGATCTCTTGATTGGAAAGCCATCTATTCCCTCCATCACCAGTTCATTGAGGCGGCTGCAGTGTGTACAGAATATCTTTCAGTAACTTACAAAGTCTACTTAGAAACTCTCAGAAACCTGTAAATGAAGTCTAGAACTATTGGGAATGCAGTCACCCCAAGCCTTGTGCCATCCTGACTTGGGAAGAAAGCATTTAGCCTTTATCATTGCTGGTCCAAAAGTCTTAGGATTTGATTCCAGCAGCATTTGTGGAATACCTTCAAATGTTGAAGTGCTCAGTTCACATACTC